ACGCTTTGTGCTAGCTGATAACACACCGACCTCTGCACGATGTGCGCAATAATGTATGTCCGGAAGAAATACAAGTTGTTACCACCGGACATTGTCATTATATATCCACCATCAGCATCGTGTATAAAAGGGCATCACTGAGTGAGGATGCCTCATTCGAGAAGATGGCTCGCTGAGGAAGATCTGGCTCGACAGGAAGGCGAAGACGCAACGTCGAGGCGAACAACAAGCATGGACCATCGACTCGGATCACCGGCTCTGAGGAAGACGAAGACGTCGAAACGTTAGCCGAAAATAAATATATTTATCAACCTCGTGTAAGCTTATCAAGAAAGAATACATATTGAATCGAATTTAGTCGCTCAATTTGTAAACAGTTTTAGTTTGTAGTGAACTTTATTAATGGAAGTAGAAATCCTGCTCGCCAATATGACGAAATCCTTCTTGTCCTACTAGAATTAAAGTTTGGCTTCCTAGAGCTTACAAATCTAGTGAGTGAAGCAGCTGAATAAGCGGGATTTCATCCTGAGAAAACGTAATGTTGTCCCTGAATGATCGTTTATGTTTGCGGTAGCCAAACATGCTCTCGAAATTCTAGGAATGTGAATTTTATGGAAATTTGGATTTTACAGAGTTTGTAATAAAAATATTTTAGTATGCACTCAGTGGTCGCAGTTTTCTTCAAGTTTCTCAATTGCATTAGTTCTCTAAAATTAAGCTATAGCTATTGTAAAAGAAGCATCAAATCTCCCATTATTGACATATTCGGCCTCTTATTCTGTTTTTATTACTGTCTGGCATCGTATTTCGACTGTTGAAGTGGTAATTCGCACTACTGGATCCAATAATTTCCCTTAAAGTGCCACTGAATTTAGCCTCTGCCAGACATAAGATCTAAGAGCTTAATTTTTTCACTGTATCGATATTCCCAGTTTCAGTTTAGAAGACTGCAGAATAATAATCTTTTAGAAAAATTGTCCATACCTCTATAAAGACGACCACGTATCTTCTGTTTACCAAGCCCTAGAGCCCCGACACTACTTGGATACTTGGAGAGCCCGTCCACACTGGTTGCGCAGACCGCAGCGCAATCTCCACTTTTTTGGTGTTTTGCTGATTTAGCCATTGTAGTTCCCGGGAGTCCCGGGGTCAACCAGGCTAAAGTCTGCCCCAGGTTGTCATCAGCACGGGCAGTCGCGGACCTTGTGGATCAGAGGAAGATTTGCCACCATGCGGCTTTGATACCAGGGCTGTAGATGATCTTGGTATTGGTTTACTCATAGCTAAGCTTCTGATGGAAACGCCGGACTCCTCAGCTTGGGAGACCTTGCCAAGGAACGAATCCCTCTGCTGTACATCGCAGTCCGACACCCGGGAACACCTCTCAGCCACGGTGAGGCAGTAAATCATTGAGAGGAGAATCCTGGTATTTTGTAATCATTTAGAAATTACTGGCAGTTATCAGAAAATTCGAATGCTTTCCAACACCAACAAAGTGCTAAATAATGTGTCTATAATGTAATAAACACGATGAGTTGGTAGTTTGGAAAACTTTCCTATGAACAAGTGACATGAAACTGCTATAATGTCATTTGTTGAAGAACCACTTAGAAATAGCTTACTTTCGTTATGCAAAAGCTTTATCCGAGCATATATTTGACCACAAATTGTTTTAGCTCCTGGGACTCGTGTGATGTTTCTATTGAAAGAAAACGATAACACACCAGCGCTGTTTACTGAAATGGGCGAATTAGGTCTGAACGAATGGAGGGAGACGGCTCGTTGGGTGAAGTTCGAGGAAGATGTTGAACAAGGTGTTTATGTCGATACGACGCTATGTCTCATTAAGCCAAGAACTTTCAATAAAAAATGTATTGTATCAACTTGGAAGAAAAATTTTCGACTAAACTTGGCAATAATAATAAAGTTACTTTACTCCTGCTGAGTGTCCTTCATGAGCCGATAGAATGTTGCTTAGGCGTACCTTTGATTTTCGATGGTTAACATTTTGGTCACTTCACCTATTTCAGAGCCGTTTTTATTTTCGAAAATGTGAGAACGGATTCATATGCTGTTCATATATGATGATAAAAGAAAAGTTCCTAAGAACATAAATAACTTGGAGAAAAGGCAAAGTTATCAAATGTTAGCCATCGAAAATCAAAGACGTTTTTGAACAACCTTATGTCGGCTCATCAAAGACACTTCGTAAGAACAAAATATATCTTGTCGTATCACCATACTGTATAATTTTCTCTAGGTGGTAACCGATGGTCAAAACCACATGTGGCCACGCTTTCGCTTCACTCATTGTTTCAGTTGAGGAGTTGTCTACTAAATGGTATCTTTATAAACGACATGCCAGAGACAGATCTCCCAGCGATTATTGGTTAGTTTTCATGGATAAGTTTTTTTTTCTTTTTTAGACTTATTTTCCAACCTGCCATGGATCTCCCTCATAAGAGGGATCTCGAGCCGGTTAGTCACGAGGCTACGTGGCGCATCCCTAGGTGGCGGATAGGAGGTAAATCGCAGACCAAAAGCGACCTTTGCTTCCCTAAGACGCCGATGAATCCAGAGGATGAACTCCGTTTTTCTTCTACTGCACTGATTTGGCAAGACGGGTGATTGCTGATGGTAAAAGATCGATAGAACTAGCTGAGGGACAGCCGAAAAGAAGGTCCCGCGTGGTGTGGTGGTGAACGCGCTACTCCCCGGAAGGGACAATACCGCGTTCGTTCCTCACCGCATACATTTTGCAAATATCTGATTTTGTCGTTAAAAAGAGTAGGCAATAACTAATAAGTTAAAATTGTGATTTGGCACATACTTTCTGTATTTGCTAGGCGTATTCATGCATGCGTGTGTGGGTGCGTTCTTGCTTATGCGGATTGTATTCTACGAGTCATTTCGGTCAAAGACCTGCAATCAAGTGACGGTGAAGTATACGGGAGGCGGTTAGGAGTCGCCTCCAACAAACAAGCTCCATGACCACTCTGGGAGAGACTGGCAAGCTACTCGTGAGTATACCCAGCTTCCACGTTCAGAGCCCAGCAAGCTATACGTGGGTATCAAATTGCTAACCACAGTAAAAAAAAAACGGGCCTCATTCCCCTGACCCCGAAAGATCCCCCAATTCGGCAGCGTTGGGTAGGACGAGTACGCAGAGGCCGCCAAAATCTCAGGGCCAATAGGAGCTGCCTGGATTTCAAAGAACTAAGAGGACAATCTGTACCTACAATGCACGTGCACTTGCATCCGAGTCCTCGATAGAGAGCTTGCTCACGCAAGCAAGAAGGATGAGGTACGACGTCATCCGCTTGGCCGAGACGAGACGACGCCACCCATTCAACGTCGTCTATGACACCGGAGAAGAACTGTTACTCGGAAGATGCGGTAGTAGAGGAGTCGGCGACGTCGGCGTTCTCGTCAACACGAGTTTGTCCATCAACATCGATTCATTCGAACAATTTACAACCCGAATCGGACGTTTACGATTAAAAAGACGCGGATGAATACCGGCTTTGACATTCTTCGTCGTTCATGCGCCGATATCAAAGTATGACGAAGAAGAAGAAGCGTTCTATATGGACTTGGAGAAGTTCTACAGAGAAGACCACATATTCTTCAAGGTTATCATTGGAGATTTCAACGCCAAGATTGGACCAAGAAGAACGTCTGAAGAACGTCACATTCGGACCCACGTATTAGAATGGAACGAAAAGGGTGAGCGGCTGTCTGAGCTTATCATGGCAACCAAGACAGTCCATGGTAACTCGCAATTCCAGAAGTGCCACCTTTAGTGCTAAGCGTGAGAGTCTCCCAATGGAGAGTACCATAACGATATAAACCACATCATAGTTAATAGAAGGTTTTGCCTAACCGATGTCGCCGTTGTCCCAAAATTCTACACTGGATCAGACCACCGTCTTCTTCGTGCAAGATTCTATTTCTCGCGGAAAGGAGAAAAAGCCGCTAAATTCCAAAACCGAAGTCCCAGAACCACCGCAAACTGGGACTTATTCAATCCATTAGTTGGTTGTTGGGAAAATGCTGTTGTCGATAACATCGACGAAGAATACCGTCGGTTCACTCAACATCTTCACGTTAGCGCTATGAAAGCTCAGAGTTCGAAAGTCACCAAGAGACGTCTGTCTCCAGAAACACTCGAGCTGATACGCCAGCTTGGAAGCGGACGAACTGCAGGCAGCCGCGAACTAACATCCGAATTTGCAAAACAGTGCAGACAGGCGATGAAAGAAGATCTTAAAGAGAGAAGAGCAGCAGTAATGGTCGAAGATGCAGAGGCTGGGAAAAGCATTCGCAAAGTCCACCGAAGCTTCGCCAATTACAAGATCAAAATTATTGTGTTTCCGTCCCCAGATGGAGGTTACGGCGTCTACAAAGGCAATAAAGAAAACCATTCACGAATACTACTCGGATCTCTTCGATAGTCACGTCCACCTTCCGTCATATGAAATAAAGGAGGATGGATATGTTGTACCGCCAGTTCTCCCTTCCGAAATCCGATATGCCATTTCGTCGGTGAAAAATCGAACAGCATCAGGTCCGGACAAGATAAGACCAAAACACCTGACGAACCTTCCGCCCGTCCCCGTAAACACACTGGCTCGGCTCTTCACACGTTACCTGTCTGAATGCAAGGTCCCTACTCAGTGGAAGACCAGCAAGAGCGTGTTATTGTTCAGGAAGGGTGACCTACACGATATCGGCAATTATTGCTCAATCTGTTTACTGTCTGTCGTCTACAAACTTTTCATTCGAGCCGTCCTAAACAGGATTTACAGAACACTAGATGAAGAGCAGCCATGTGAGCAAACAGGGTTTCGAATAGGATTTAGTACGATGGACCACATCCACACGGTAACACAGCTCATTGAAATATCGCGAGAGTACAAAGACGGCTCTGTCTCATTTTCATCGATTTACAGAAGGCCTTTGATTCAGTTGAGATAGAAGCAGTCTTGGAAGCCCTTGATAGTCAAGGGGTCCCTACTCTGTACATAAAGATTCTCCGTGAGCTGTACAAAAACTTCACAACCAATTTATCACCATTCTACAACGATTTTAACATTGACGTAAAAGTGGAGTTAGGCAAGGCGTTACGATCTCGCTAAAATTATTTACCGCCACACTCCAGAACGTCATGTGGACATTGGAATGGTATAATATAGGAGTGAAAATCGATGATCAGCATTTACACCATCTTCTCTTTGCTGATGACATCGTCCTTATAACACCAAACATTAGCCAATCGGAACGTATGCTTGACGACTTTGATAAAGCCTGTGGAAAGATTGGTCTTCGACTAAGTCTGAGAAAAACGATGTTCATTAAGAACGGATTGGTTTCGCATGCCCCATTCACGCTCAACAGAACGAATATCTCCGAATGCTCCAGTTATATCTATTTAGGTCTGGAGATCAACATGTTGAACGACTTAACTCCAGAGCTGAGTAGAAGGAAACGAGCGGCTTGGGGATCTTTCATGAGCATCGAGGATGTAGTGAAGAGAACAAAGAACACCCAACTCCATGCCCACCTTTTCGACTCAACGGTACTTCCTGCTCTAACGTATGCGTCAGAGACCTGGTCACTGCGTAAGCGGGATGAAAGGTCACTCAGCGTTATCGAACGCGCAGTCGAAAGGACGATGCTAGGAGTATCCCGTCCACACAAGTAAAGAATGGGATCGGAAGCTCCGATCTACGTCAACGATCAAAAATCAAAGGTGCCGTTTTGTACGCCAAACAGTCGAAGATAAGGTGGGTGGGACACGTAATGCGTATGAATGACAACCGTTGGACAAGAGCTGTTAGTGACTGGATTCCTCGGGATGTCAAACGGTCTGCACGAAGGCCACCGACCCGGTGGTCAGAGTTGTTCACAAAGAGCCTTGAGGAATGATATGATGCTCGACAAGTCCGTGGAGCGAGCAGAACCCACTGGGTTACTCTTGAACGCGACAGGGAAAAACGGTAGATTTACTACTGACGCCCGCTCGAGTCACTCGACGATCAACGGGACTACAGGTTATACAGGTTTTCCAACTTGAAAAAGCTTTAATCGTTAACCGTTTCAATGTTTTCTATTGTTAGTTAGTATTGTTTTAACAAGTAGTGCAATTTATTATTACTATATGGCATATGCAGTGAAGAAGTTAAAGGTACTGTGCAGTAATCACCTGGTTTTGGTTGGAATGTTGTTCAAGGACAAACTAAGCCTTCTTTCTATCCAGTTTCAGCAATTCGGACTTGAATGCGAGGATAAAAAATCACAGGCTTGTTAAATCCGTAGACCTCTTTGCCCCACCCGAGTTATTTTGTGGGTCAGTTACGAATTCAATCACTTCCGCATGACTGAGGTAGTCCAGTGAACGGGGCATACCTTAGGGGCTTATTGAATCCGAGAGCTTCATGCTTTGGGCTTTGTCATTTCTGAACTACGCGGAAATGCGTTGTCCACCACTTGCAGCTGTTAACAGTCAGAATCCTAATGCATGACGATATAGGTGTTTTCGGATTTTATGAAAGCAATTTTTAAGCAGTTTCAAAGGTGGTTATTATCAAATGGGCGTGGGCTATTAAAATGGTAGTAGTCAATAACGTGTGTTGACAAAGCCAATCGACTTAATCTAAATATGATTACTGTGCACTCTCGTATTATTGTTTATACACCTAAATATATTTATACTATCGCCCCGTATTGCAACTCTTTTCATATATTTGAGGGAGATTTGTACTAATTTAATCCCATTATGTAAAAATTTATCCGTAAATCGCAAAATTTCTACGAATTTTGTAAATTTAATTAACTCCCTTTGCGATAGGTCGGGCTCTATGGGAGTATCTTTGTCCATTTAAGAATGGATACTGTCGGCTAGTTAAAGAACGAGTTCGGTGTTTGAATACTAAAACTGAACTAATTTCGACCAATTTTTCTTGTGTAGAGAATTATACAGCTGCTGCAGCTGCTACTGCTACACTGAAGAAATTCAAACCCAATTCTTATACTTGGAAAACTTCACTTCGTACTCAAGTCCACATACTTACCGGTATACATGATCATGTTCTCTGAACCATTTTGTCAATTGTGAAAAAGTGAGAAAGACGCGTTTAGTTGGATTTGTGTTCTCAAGGGCATCTGGATAACTCCATATTTCAATGCTCACAGCAAAATTACATTGTGGTTCACATTAAATGTGCATGAAATTTTCTGCGAACAAAGAATAAAACCTTTACTTTCAACGCACTGGTGTTTTTCGGCTGGTGACGTAAGGTGTTATCTGGCCGCTTTTGCCACAAATGAAAATTTCTCAACAGAAGAAAAATTTGGTGACTGTCGAAATTACACTTCATTGTTAGAAACAAATCTTCAAACATATTACGAAACAGAAATGAATCGTTGTAAGCCATTCATGTGTTCTAGTTGAGGTACACAATGGAACAGTTTGTTGTCGAAGTAAAAGAGATGAGTAGAAGACACAATAGAAATGTTATGCTTCAGACTGACATTCTTAGCGTTCAGCGACTCAGACTGCTATAGATATTTGGTAGTAATTTGGTAACGGAAATAGTGACAAGATTACGATGGTGAGAAATAAACCCGTCTCGACTAGTATTTCATTTGGGTTTTTTCATTAATGAAACGTTTTTAATGCTAAAATTCTGTCAATTATTCTTTATACCCTTACGAAACAGCTTACAATTTTTTTTGAGAAGACCATTTCTGAAATCAGTGGGACCTTAATCTCCAACACTGGCTGTCATTTGATCTCGCGAATGATATCCTTGTCATGCTGATTACAGATTACACGAGGCTGTTAAACTGTTTTGTAGATGAGATTTTTGCACTATCGGACCGAGCATCTACAGCTGTTAATTTTACGGGTCTCTATAGTCTATAAGCACCTCGTATAAGCTTAAAAAATAAGCGAATTTAGGCCCAAGATTGTGAAATATTCACTTCTAGAACTTGCCATAATGTCGAATTTGGAATGTCATGCTCTGTTATCCTCTATGAATGAATTAGATGCAGTCTTTCACACCACTAGCAGCAGTTGTCATAGTTACGTTTATGCACGCCATTAATGCACTAATGACTGAAGATGACTAATGACACTAGTAAATATACAATGAATGTGGGACTAATTGGAATAAAAGTGGAACGTGTGGAAACAAACGTGTGAGATGCATCATCATGTATCCTTCATAAGATCTTTTTTGACCCTAAACATGAACTATCGTGGGTTACAAAAAAGAAAACTTGTAAGGCATCGTATGGTTGTAATGTGGATAAGGTAATGGCTGTAGTTTGCATTGCGAAGTTTTTTGGCACGTGTGTTGTAGAAATGATTTCCTAATAAAGAGAACTGTTCCTGACGACCTTCGATGTTTTACTCTCCTAAAAGCCGAAGGTGAAATCAAATTACAAAATCATCGATGAGAGTCTCTGCGAGACTCTAATGCAAAAATGTTCTAGTGTTTATCGATAGAACATAGGTAAGAGTTTGGCGTACTAAACCATTACGAATAACAAAAAGTAGTTATTCTCATTTTCAAATTTTCATTTCGAATGGTAAAGTTCACTCATATTTTTAAAATCTGAACTTCAATGATGTGTCTAGATTTTGGTCTCCTCATTGTTAATTTCTTCGGTAAAGAACGCAAGGAGAATTCACGAAACTTCCAACGTGTCTTAGAGCATTAGTCATTATGGCGATCGGCCTCCCACATTCTTATTCTGTGGCGCATTCGATTCGCATTTTCTGCGAGCCGAACTATGAGTTGCACTACTTAAGCAGAAGTCGGGCCCATCAACCGCTCGAAACGCTCTCGCTGAATTCTCTGTTGAGCTTCGCAAATGCAAAGGAGATTGAAACGATGTCTTACTGGGGGATTCGCTTGAAGAAACGAGATCATGTATGTATACGTATATATATATATATATATATATAATATATATACAGACATGTGCGTATATATACACACATACATATGTCTATTTCCCGACCCCAGATGGATGAGAGGCTTGATGAGCTCGCATGGGTATCGAAGCAACACCGTGCTCATGATGTCCGGTATCACTACCACTGTGTTCTCTGCTCCATAATATATATATATATATATATATATACATATATACGTATATATATGTATGTATGTATATGTATACGTATGCTTGATACTTGAACGGCCCGTCCTTACTGGTTGTGCATGCCCCAGCATAATCACCATTTTCCGGAGATTTGCTGACTAAGCTATTGTGGTTCCCTGGAGTCTTGGGATCAGCCAGGCGAAAATCTGCCCCAGTTGGTCACCACCACAGGCAGTCGCAGGCCTTGTGGATCAGAGGGAGATTTGCCATCATGTGGCTTTAATACCAGGGCGGTGGATGATCCTGGTATTGGTTTACCCTTAGTTAGGCTTCCTGATGGAAACGCCGGTCTCCTTCTCAGCTTGGGAGGCCTTGCCGAGGGACGAATCTCTCCGCTGTACATCGCAGCCCAACAACCAGGATCACTTCCCAGCTACGATGAGGCGGTGAACCGTTGGGAGGATATATAATACTTTTTTCAAATTTTAACTATATTCCAACACTAGAAAGGTCATGACGCTCGGGAAATCGTTGTTCACCCTAGAACTTCTAGGCCATGGATTTCTACAAGAAAGCAGAAGACAGATTTCTTTTCATAATCGGTGTTTTTGTTGCAAAAGATGAACCCTATATGTGCGTGATCAAGCCATAACTCTCACCTGAACTTTATAAAAAGGCCCATTGTTTAAAAATTTTGTATAATTGGCGAGAGAAGAAAGCGTGTAGAAGCCACTCAATTGTTGGTCAATGCGAGACTAAAAAAGAAACAACGGTGACTAACGCTATGGTAAATAATTGCAACGACGAGATTTTTATGGTTTCAAAGAGTGATCGTAGATGCTTATTGTTAGAATCTTAACCCTTTTATTTACTGCCTTTTTCTTCTTAATGGCAGGGTATGTTGCGAAATATAACTCGTATGTAATGCTGAGATAAAAGGACCGCAGGTGTATGCGGTCCGGAGTTTTGCAAATATCTCAGCATTACATACGACTTATTGTTAGAATTCTGAAATACTTAACGAATATTTTTTCAACTGGAAATTACTACCTTCGGCGAAAAGGTCGAAGTTGCTTTCGTTTCTTTCCAAACCTTTCTTCCTGTTCAGAATCGTTAATCGATGAATTTGTGAAAGAAGGTGACATTGAGGAGGATATGCGCAATGAACTTCGGGAAATTCTATTGCGAAAGCATGTCCATCAATATGAACAAGTGAGTTGAAGGTTCAACAGGATACGGTGTGAGTTTTTGTGTTGTGAATCGCTAACAGCATTTTGACCGCTGCATTTTTAGCGTGAGTTTCGTTTTATTTAGTCAACGACGAAGTACATTTGAGAGCTTGTTGACGCGCTAATGTTAGGCTTAGCTGTTTTGCATGTTTGAGGCTAAAAAGAATGGTTCAAACGGTGAGAAAAGCGGATTTCTAAACACGGTACGTTCAATATCCGACATTGGAAAGTCGTTTTCTCATGGACGCAATCTTGGAAAACTGGATAAGGAATTGGAAAAGGAACCATTTGGGCCGCAGTTAGAGTTACCTAAGGTTCGCTGATTTTCGGATATAACGAAAAACTGCGAAAATTCAATAAAGATGCGTCAATATCAAAAATAGTTCTTTTAAATCTCACTATTTCTTTGTTTAGGTTGAGTCGATGCCTCGTGATATGAACAAGGATGGCTCAGCAGATGTTAACAAAGGCAACACGCATTTCCTTAAGAAGCTTCCTCCTGGAGTCGAAGCTAGCAATGTACTTATCGGAGAGGTATATGTTTTTGTACTTCTGAATATTATTATGCTCGGCTTTTTATTTCTCCTTCGTTTCACTAGAACTATACTATTTCTTTTCCACTAGGAATTCGCGGCAATCCCTCTATGCCCCAGACTGAGCTGCTTGGAAAGCATTAATTTGTGTGGTCTATTTGATTAACAATTCACAATGTATCTGGGCTGCAGTGAGTATCGTCCTCGACCGTTCGTTCGATTAGTTGCAGAAATCGCTTTCGTCGTGCTTCACAATTCATAGTCTTAGGGTTCCAGAAAACTATATTTAACAATTATTCAAGGTGTAATGACAGTGAGGGGTAGAGAGAAGATATTTTCAAGCCAACAGAGATGTCACGTGTGAACCATGAACTTGTATGCATGATTGTTGCAAACAGGACGAAAAAAATGTCGACGAATTAATGGGAACCACAAAATTTTTGAGGACATGACACCTGGTTACTTAAGCGTTTGATTCAACAAAAGATAACCGTCGAGTGAAAACAAATTAAAAACTTGTCTACCGAGATTATAAATTTAGAATAGAGGTTGCGGCAGTTTTCTTTAAAGTCGTATGATCGTTTATTTGTTTATTTATTTATTTATTTATTTATTTATTTCTGCGGAAATTAGGGTAGCACCAATTCCACATTTATTTCATTCTGTCGCGGTTTTCGTCTATAGACATGCTCACTTCCCAACATAATGTCATCAACGATTGTCATGCTATAATCCACAAGTGGTTTCCAGCTCTGATATCTACAACACCTCTTGTGGATGATGTACCCAAAGGACGATTAAATACCCTGAGATGCACTTTATATTTCTCTTCGTCCATCTGTTATCGGCTAGTCTTGTCACATCGACTCTCTATTCCTTGCTTTTGCTGTTTCCTTAATTTTTTTATGTTGTAAACTGCAAAGTCTGACTTGAGGTTGAGCTTCAGAAACTATCGTTCGCACATTTTCGATGGTGCATTCTCAGGACAAGGAATCTACCATTCTCGATTTATTCTACACCATGCCATAGGTTTTCAGTAGGGACAAGACAACCACGCCAGAAATTCTTGAACAGTATATGATTTTTTTCCCTTCGAATGTGTATTTTTGTGCTGGTCATGTGAAGAAGTCGGCCTGTTGTTGGATGGCTTTGAAACTGTTCCTTTTCACGCTGCTGAACTTGAACTTTAGTTCCGTCTAATTTATGGTGAACATGCGTTGGTGAGTAGCAAATAGTGATCAAGGTCTCCTAAGTAGGCTGAGTGATCTCATGTTAGGCGGAATAATGGCGCTCCTCTTTCCATTATATGTTTGGTAGGAGCTCAATCTTCTTATTGCCATATGTCTGCGTGCTCTCTGTTTCAAAACGGTCTTTTTAGACTTGACGTGATTTGCGGCCTCTAATGTGGGTAGCGGAGTTAAAAGGAAAAGTTGATTTACCCAAGATCATCGTTTGGCTTTCTCTCTATGGTTGTAGTTGCAGAGCAATTGGTTCCCATGACATTTCATAAAAGTAATGTTTTCGTTCGCTAGTGATGTCGGTGGCAACTCGAGATTTTATCGCATTCCACTAAAGCTCTCACTGTCTGCGGGACTGGTTTCCGTTTTACAAGTTACATTGTAGTTGATGGTCGAGGGAATTTTTGTGAAGTAGAGTGACTATAAAGCTACACCATTTCCAGACCATTACTGATGTCTACTGCATGTTTGCTTCCTGGATCTGGAGAACTTTGTTCCCCTATGAGTGGATTTTCGGAGCAACAGCGATTTCTTGCATACTCGTACTCCTAATTAAGCCCTCTCGAACAGATAGACTCCTTGGTTTATATTCCAAGTCTTCTATATCCAGGGAAATTCGCACAATAATGTTATGGTAGAGAGCCTAAGTGGATTTTTCTTAACCAGTAGATATAAAGAGCCTGAGGTCTTTTATCGTTCCACTGATTTTTTAATGGCTAAAACATTTTCGCTCAGAATCATCACGTTCAGAAGGCTTCTGAACAATCCTATCCCATTAACCAAATTTTCTTCTAACAGTTGGATCGCTCAGTTCTACAAAAATATGTACGCTGTGACCCATAATTTAGTTCTTTTTTTCAGGTGGACTTCCTACAACGTCATATTTGTGCATTCGTTCGCCTTAAAAGTGCTAACGTTCTTGGTGATCTAACTGAGGCATGTACAAAAGTCTCACCTGGATTGAGCTTTGGGTATATTAATATTTTGTGGTTCTTGTTTAGGTCCCTGTTCCTACACGATTTATTTTTTTATTACTTGGCCCTACTGGTCATGGACCTCAGTATAAGGAGATCGGCCGTGCAATTGCGACTCTCATGGCCGATGAGGTATGCCTCCAGTTTTTCCCCTTATTATTTGCATTTCTAACTGCATCCGTATATTTATAGACACATTTGTACTGAAATGTATTTTGAGACAGCCAATATTTTCTGAAAAATCTTTGCGACTATACGAGCTAACTGTCGATTTCAGATCTTCCACGACGTTGCTTATAAAGCTCGTAACAAGGAGGATATGTTAGATGGTGTAGACGAATTCTTGGACCAGGTGAGCGGTGTAGATTTCGTTATACATAATTATCAGCTACTGAAAACAGTAAGTTTGGTTTTAACTTATTATTTGCTGCCTACTCTTTTTAATGGCAGCGTATATTGCGAAACATAACATAATAGTAATAAAAAGAAACGAAGGACCCGCATGGTGTGGTGGTGAACGCGTTACTCCCTGAAAAGGACAATAGCGCGTTCGTTCCCCATTGCAGACACCTGTGGTCCGGAGTTTTGCAAATATATCAGCGTCATTGAAACGAGTTTGGTATTTATAAGATTCACCTAACAAGGTTTAAAGGATAAGGATAAAGCTCTCGTTGTTGATCAATCCATGAGGAATGCGCCATGCATTCGACCTCATTAAATATCGTTAAAGGTGATTGAATGCATATCTGGCCTATACATTGACTTGCCGTTGTTTACCGACATATCGAGCTAGTGGTGCTCTCCTTCCAGACAAGTCTGGTACCAGATTTCCGACTCCGGAGGGACAGAAGGCTTGATGAGCCTGGGGCGCGGGATCAAACCCATGTGTATTGCAGGGCACCTCCAACCGCTGCGGTACACGCTCCTCTTAACATGGGTTATTGTCTCAAAATTACTTTTTGATTTCTTAGAGTCAAAATAGTATTTATTTAGGTCACTGTACTACCTCCAGGAGAATGGGACCCTACTATACGTATTGAACCACCAAATCAGATCCCTTCACAAGAGAAGAGGAAACAGGTATAGTTCGAAGAAAAAGTGAAACTTAACCTATTCAAAGTTCAGTGTGCCAACTTTTCTTTGAACAGGTTGGTCAGGAGTTGCTACTCGACAAAGTGGAAATGACGGGTGGACCGAGTAAAGGAAAAGATGAGCTTGATGAGGAAGAGGGTGTGATCATTTTCATTTGATGTGATTTCTATGACGGTCATTGATGAAAATATTGCAGCTGGACATGGCAGTGATCCCGCACTGAGACGCACGGGACGGTTGTTTGGTGGTCTGATTTTGGATATCAAAAGAAAAGTACAAGCATTTTCGTTGCTTTGTAGCGTCCTGTAGATTTTCAGTTCGTTATTCTAGTTGGTGCCTTTAAATTTCTTTTCTATTCTAGGCTCCGCACTATATCAGTGACTTTACGGATGCTTTTAATTTGCAATGTCTGGCAACAACGTGTTTCATGTATTTCGCACTTCTGGCACCAATCGTAACATTTGGTGGACTGCTCGAGGAAGCAACCCATCAGCGGATGGCGGCTATGGAAAATATCTTCGGAGGTGGGCTCAAAATGGTAGGAGAACGTGACTTCGATGAGATAAATTGGCCTAGGAGAATTAGGTCTTAAAAACTTACCTATTCTTTTTGTTTACACTGCAGTCTATTTGTCTTCAATCCTCGTTTTTCCGATTCTTTTCTATGAAGTGTTTCACTTCGTTACTACTCGTAATCAACTGTCATTGTGATCAATATACGAGTTCGGTGGAGATCAGTAGCTGTGTTCAATACTTGTATCATCAGTCGTCCCCGTTGATCGTCAAGTGACTTGAGCGGGCGCCAGTAAATCTTCCATTTTTCGTTGTCGCCGTAGGTGTAGCCTAGTGGGCGTGTTCGCTCTAGGAGCTTGTTGAGCACAATGCCTTTTTTCCAGCGTTCTTGTGAAGAACTCTGACCACCGAGTCGGTGGTCTTCCTGCAGTACGTTTACCATCCCGAGGAATCCAGTCACTAACGGCTGTTGTCCATCGGTTACCGTTCGTATGCATTACGTGTGCAGCACACCTCATCCTAGAGAATTTTTGATCGTTGACGTAGGTCGGAGCTTCCGATCCCATCCCTTACTTGTGTGGAACGGGATACTCCTAGCATCGTTCTTTCGACTGCGCGTTCGATAACGCTGAGTGACCTTTCATCCCGCTTACGCAGTGACCAGGTCTCTGACGCATACGTTAGAGCAGGAAGTACTGTTGAGTCGAAAAGGTGGGCATGGAGTTGGGTGTTCTTTGTTCTCTTCACTACATCCTCGATGCTCATGAAAGTTCCCCAAGCCACTCGTTTCCTTCTACTCAGCTCTGGAGTTAAGTCGTTCAACATGTTGATCTCCAGACCTAAATAGATATAACTGGAGTATTTGGAGATATTCGTTCCGTTTAGCGTGAATGGGGCATACGAAACCAATCCGTTCCTCATGAACACCGTTTTTGTGAGATTTGGTAGAAGACCAATCCTTCCACAAGCTTCATCAAAGTCGACAAGCATTCGTTCCGCTTGGCTAATGTTTGGTGTTATAAGAACGATGTCATCAGCAAAGAGAAGGTGGTGTAACTGCCGACCTTCGATTTTCACTCCCATATCATCCCATTCCAAAGTTCGCATGACGTTCTTTAGGGTGGCGGCGAATAATTTTGGGGAGATGGTATTGCCCTAGTTAACCCCTCGTTTGACGTCGATGTTGATATTGTTATGGATTGCTGATGTCATAGTTGTGAAATCTTTGTATAGCTATTGAGGAATCTTTGTATACTGAGTAGAGACTCGCTAGTGGTCGAGGGTTTCCGTGAAGCTTCTATCTCAACTGAGTCAAAAGTTTTCTTTAAATCGGTGAAAGTGAAACTTTCGTGAAACTTCATACCTCCGATACGCAATATTTCCGCGTTTTGTTATCGTGTGGATGTGGTCCATCGTACTGAATCCTTTTCGAAACCCAGCTTGCTCAAATGGCTGTCATTCGTCCAGTGTTTTGTCAATCCTGTTGAGGGTGACTCGAGTGAAACGTTTGTAGACAAACAGGAAGCAGATTGTGAGACAGTTGTCGGTATCGTGGAGGTCACCTTTCTTGATCAGTAACACAGTTTTGCTGGTATTCTACTGATTAGGAACCTTGTATTTGAACGGGAAAAGTGTGAAAAGCCTTGCCACTGTGTTCATGACTGGTGGAAGGTTCTTCAGGTATCCAGATCTTATCCTGTGCGGACCGTGTGTTGTTCAATTCTTCACCGATGAAGTAGCATGTTTGATTACAGAAGCGAGAACCGGTGGTATGACATATCCATTTTCTTTTGTTTTCTATGATGGCAAGAGGAAGCGGCTATTGAAGAGATCAGGTGTAACTACTCCGTCTGGGAGTCGAAATGCAGTCTTGGTTTTGCAATTAATAAAACTTCGGTGGGCTTTACGAAAGCTTTTCCCCGTCTCTACAACTTCGTCCATAACTGGCGTTCTTCTATCTTTAAAGGTCTCTTGTCACCTGTCTGCATCGTTTTGCAGGGTTGCACGTGAGTTGGCGGTTGTCCATAGCTCGTGCGTGCCAGCTTGACACATCAATTCGGGTGTTTATGTAGCAGACTTCTCTTGCCTACTTTGGATCATTGGAATTTTAATTGCGCTAACGTGACGATATTGAATGAGCCGATCATATTCCTCTTGGATGTTATCAAGAGCAGTATTTTCTGATTAGCCGACTAAGGAACTGAATAAATCTCAGTTTGTGGTGGTTATTGAACTTAGTTCGTTCTTCTTTTTTTTTGAATTTAGCGGCTTTCTCTCTATTGCGCGAGAAATGAAATCTTGCACGAAGGAGGCAATGATCTGATCCCGTGTAAAATTTTGGAACACCGACGCCGGTTAACTATTTCGTTACGTTTCTTTCAATTGGCAGACTTCCACGTCCACCGTTGAGAGTGGCACTTTTGGAATTGTGAATTACCATTGATACTTTTGGCCGTTATGATAAACTCAGACAGCCACTCGCCGTGCTCGTTCCATTCTAATCCGTGGGTTCCAATGTGATGTTCTTCAAACGTTTTTCTTGATTCAGTGTTAACTTCAGTGGTAACCTTTAAGAATGTGTGTTCTTCTCTGTAGAACTTGTCCAAGTCCATATAGAGCGCTTCTACTTCGTCTTAATTATAACTTTATGTCGGTGCGTAGACGATGAAGATCGTCGAAGTTGGTATTGGTCCACATTTCCTCAATCATAGACGTCCGATTCCGGTTGTTAGTTGTTCGACCCCTTTACGATCGAGTGTTCTGAGTAACTGTTCTTCTCCGGTGTCATAGACGGCTTTGAATGGGTGTCGTCGTCCCGTCAGCCAGTCCGATGACTTCGTCCCTTATCCATCTTGTCTGCATGATGAGGTCCTCAATAGAGGAGTCATATGCAAGTGAGCGTGCATCGTAGGTTCATGCCTCCACCTTTGTTCTTTGTAATTTAGGCAGCCTAGAATGGCCCAGGGATTTTAGCAGCCTTACCGTAATCGTCTTACCCAATGCTGCTGTGTCGGGGCATTTTTGGGGTCAGGGGAATGAGATTCGTTTATTCTACTGTGTTTGACCTTTGATACCCACGTATAGCTTGCCGAGCTCAACCTAGGAGCTAGGTATACTCATATGTAGTTTGTCAGTCTATGCGAAAGGAGACGAGGAGCCTATTTGTTATAGTTGACTTCTAACCGCACTCCATGTAATTCCCAGTCATTTGGGCTATTTGACTCGTATGATAGAATACAACCTGCATAAACAAGAACACACCAACGCATGCATGCATGAATACGTCCTCATAAATACAGAAGGTATATGCCAAATCGATATAGCAGAAATAGGGTTCAGGGAAGCAAAGATTGCTTTTGATTCGCGATTAACCCTCTATCCGTCACTTGGGCACACTCCACGTTGCGTCGCGATAAACCGACATGAGGTAGCTGTATGAGGGAGATCAGTGGCAATAGCAATATTGTGCAGTAGTTTTGTTGCGGATTAAATGATCACATCATGAAAAGAATAACTAGTCGGGCAATCGTTGCTGAATTTGTACCGCGACATTCGATTGTCCAGGTGGATTCCAACAGCGGTTCTGCGTAGAAGTGTTGAGTCTTTCGGTGAGAAGCTGATGTCGCGAATGTGTGGAGATCTTGGTCTGCAATTGCCCAGTTTTTGTTGTGAAATCGCCTAATTGAGAGTTCTAGAATATGAAAGCATTATTCTTGGAGGCTCGCTGTGTAGTAGAGGAGGCTTACGACGTCGAACTGTGACGTCAACTCATGGAGATTAGAGGATGTATTTCTTAGGAGGACCTACGACGTCGTGTTCTGAAGTGTGTTGAAGATTAAATTGATCTTTCGACGAAGTGCATTTTCATGACATTGTAACTGCTTGCTGTTGCTCACTGGCTCTACACCTGTCTTTGCATGTTACTTTCTCGATGGCGTTAACTTCACGTTTGGGCAATTAAATCTTTATATCTGCATATAAACAATAACACAATAACGCTAGGGGGTCATGGTGGTTAAAGAGGTGCCATGCAATGCACTTGGGATCAAATATTAGTCCGCTATTGCGCTTCTGGTAAACCAAGCCTTCGTTCCCTCCAGAATTGAGAAATTGGAGCAGGAATAATGTAAAAAATAATGTAAAAAACACTTGTTATATACATCGATAGACCTCCACAAGTCGTTGTACAGGCCAAATACGAATTTGCTCACCTCTGTGATACTTAATGGAACCGATTGCAGTAAGTAGTATATAAGTCAATCCAAAGTATGAAAGGAGAGTTGTCGACTGCCTAAATCTGTTTAGATCTCAGTGAAAGTAGATAATCGCTTTTGGTCTGTGTTCAGTCTCTTGTCCACTTCCTGGGATAGTTTTGGTGAGGGGAATTGATGGTAGACCATAAAGTGACAGAGTCTGTTGTTGCAAAAGGGAAGGAAAACAAGTGGAAGTGGAGATGAAGTCTTCATCGAACTTTTTCAACCTGTTTCATTGTCACATTAGAAGGAGCGATTGTTCAAAACTTTATAGAGATAGTAATGAAAAATGAATCCAAACATTTTTCCTTGAATCTCTTCATCATACATTCAGGTGCAATATGTGGTGTGTTGTATCATTTGTTCGCCGGACAACCGCTAACAATCATCGGTTCCACAGGACCTGTGCTGGTGTTTGAAACGATTGTCTATGATTTCTGCTTGAGACTTGGTATTCAGTACCTCAGTTTCCGTGTTTGGGTAGGCTGTGACAGTATTCGAAATCTTATTCAGAGTGACTCAACTGATCTAGAACAAGATTTTGTGTTCAGGTACATGTCTGGACTGCACTTATCATCTTTATAATGTGTATAACGGATGCAAGTGCTCTTGTAAGTTGGTTGAAATAATAGTGTGAAACAACGATTCCATCTTCATTTATTGTAATACATTCAATATTCTGGGTCTCCTACATCACTCGTTTCACAGAAGAATCGTTTGCCACGTTAATTGCCGTCATTTTCATCTATGAGGCAATAATGAAGTTGTGGAAGATCAAAAGTGAGTTTTACGACGTTTTCATGATGGGCGGGCCTGTCTACCACGGTGCTTGGAATGGCCTTCTAATGCACACGTGGTTGTTGGTACGATCTCACATCACAGGATCACTGAGCTCTCCATCCCTCCGAGGTCGGCAAATTGGTAATTCAACCTCTCTAGTAGTTCTCTATTTCACATTAATCGTTAAGCATCGTTTATAATTCTTCCTTCTGACCGAGCACTACGAAGGTCAAAGTTATGTTCAAAGATTTCTATTGACATTTGTTAGAACAGAGATAGTACCTTTAATAGATCAACTGGACGTGATCAACTACAGTCGTGACGCCGTTGAAGGTTCATGTTTCTGCCAATCACCAGTAGGAAAACGTAAGTTCTTTACATATCTGTTTAATTTGCACTATCAGGTTTTCACAGTGCTTGAGTTGTTTAGCTGCCGTAACATTCGAAAAGGCTGGTGAGTTTATTACAAAGAATGGACTCAATATTGCTCATAATTCAACGTATGTCGACTATGCGGCTGTAAGTTTGCTACCGAGAAATGTTTATGACTTAAAGTCTGAAAAGTGTTTTAAAATTAAGTATGAATACAAGAAGGCTCTCCTACACCAATATAGATAGTATTTCATTAATCATTACTTGTAATATAAAGAGTGATTTTCTAGGCAAGTCTTGAGAATTGTCGTTTAATTGGTGGCTCATTTGGTGGAGCAACCTGTTATCCTTTATATGACAAGCTGCTCATGTCAATCCTTCTAACACTTGCTACTTTCACATTGGCGATTACGTTTAAGGTAAGGAGACTCTAATTTACTTGAAGTTTATTAGCAGAGACGCAGGGATACATATCTACAAAGCTAAAGTATGTTTCATTCTTATATTTCGTAAATCGACAATGGTCAGCTAATTTGCGCAGTTTTTTTGCGCTGATTGTAAGGTCCAAAAAAGATTCCCTTCCACAATTGAAATACTTGATGATGATGGTCCGCATGTTTCGATGGTCATCTGTGCTTTCGAAATAAGGAATAAAATAGAATGAAAAAGTCTGACCAACACATCCTCTCTAAGATTTACTTACAGAGAATGCGAAACTCATGCTATTTTCCGACGCGTGTTCGCCAAGTTTTCAGTGATTTTGCTGTAATGATCGCAATCGTAATTATGACATGCATCGATATGTTTGTTGGCATTAACACTCCAAAATTAAATGTGCCAAGTTCGTTCCGTGTAAGTTCGTATTAGTTTTCGTCAAGAAATAATCTTACTCAATGAAATCGCGGTTTCGTTAGCTATTTTCTAAAGACAGGAAAATGTCTCCGTCGGTATGTCCGTCAGTAATAAGTGGTTTTAATAGTTCAGTAAATCCCAATACCGACTTTCTCTCAACCTCGGCATTAATCAGTAATTCACTTTCTTAATGAGCAAATACCTCTTAACGGTTTACGGCCTCATCGTGGCTGGGAGGTGTTCCTGGGTGTCGGACTGCAATGTACAGGGGTGATTTGTTCCCTCGGTAAGGTCTCCCAAGCTGAAGAGTCCAGCGTTTCCATCAGCAAGTCTAGCCAAGAGTAAACCAATACCAGGATTCACCACCGTTCTGGTATCAAAGTCGCATGGTGGCTAATCTCCCTGTGATCCACAAGGGCCGCGACTGCCCATGGTGGTAAAAACCTGGAGCAGACTTAGGCCAGGGTGATCTCGAGATTCCAGTGAACCACGATGGCTTAGCCAGCAAATCTCCGAACAATGGAAATTGTGCTGGTGCCTGCACAACCAGTAAGGACGGGCCATTCAAGTATCAAGTAATGAGCAAGTACAAGGTTGGTATTACGGCATTTATTAGTGCAGATTGGCTGACGTTTCGGCGGTTTGCCTTCATCAGGGCCTGAAAAGGTCAAATTGACATGCAATCTGCTCAGCTAAACACTTTCATAACCTCACCTCAGCACGCAAAGCTTAACGCAGAGATTTCCATTGGTATGATAAACAACTTTATTTAAACTTCCACCGTTTTACTCTCTGTGAGTTACCGTCACTTCCAAAGAACACTTACTGGGATACTTACTGGAACCGTCCTCACTGGCTGTGCAGACTCTAGTATATTTTGCGTTTTTCGGAGTTTTGCTGGTTTAGCCGTTGTGTTTCCCTGGTGTCCAGAGGTCAGTTTGGCCAAAGTCTGCCTAGGTTGTCTCCACCACGGGGATTCGCCGCTCTTGTGGATCGAAGGGATTTGCTACCATTCGACTAGTTTGGTACTAGGACGGTAGTGGATCCTGGTATTGGTTTTCTCCTATCTAGGCTTCCTGATGGAAACGCCGAACTCCTTGTCAGCTTGGGAGACCCTGCTGGGGATGAATCCACTTGCTGTACATCATAGCCCGACACCCAGGAACACCTTCTGGCCACGATTAGGCCGTAGACCGTTGGGAGGACAAATAACACTTACAGCCACTTATAAAGAACAAAACGGTGCGTGTTTAAAAGAAGCTGTTTATTATGCAAGTAGAAATTTATGTGTTAAGTTTTGTCTGTTGAGCGTATGAAATAGTTTGGGTGAGCAGATTGCGTGTCAATTTAACCTCTCTCAAGAAGACGAAACCGCCGGAACATCAACTACTTTGTATTAATAAATGCTATAATACCAATTTCGTTTTCGCTCATAAAGAAAGGCAGTTTTTTTTTTCGTCTAGCATTTTCCTAAATTTAATAGCTGTCGAGATATGAGTTATCTACATGTTATCTAAATGTTTTAGCCAACATGGGATGGTCGTGGATGGTTTATCCCACCTTTTGATGGAAATCCACTCTGGACGGCACCGCTGGCATTGTTGCCGGCTTTGCTAGCTTGTATTCTAATTTTTATGGATCAACAAATCACCACCGTGATCGTAAATAGGAAGGAGAACAAGTTAAAGAAGGTTCGCCATGAACTTTTTGTCATACTATTATAACCTGATTCTTTGATATTAGAATGAAAAATTTGTTGAAAAACTTGAGGATGAGGGACAAAAAAGTTGGTTCTTTTGGCAACACTTTCTATATGTATATATACAATTCATGAAATTGGGGCAGACAGCACAGTGGTAGTGTTGCTCACCATCACGAGCACGGTGCTGGGTCGATCCTACTCCATGCTTACCAAGCCTGTCATCCTTCCGGGGTCGAGAAATGGGTATCGGATTTGTATGGGACATTCGCTTTCTGCAGTCCAAAGGGGAACACTCTAGCCCGGATTTGCTCGCTGCAGTGCCATTGGGAACACTCTATGTCGACCATCTCGAGACTCCAGGTGGAATCGACTCTACCAACATTCAACGATATTCATGTTGAAAAGAAAATCGTCAAGCAGCAGCCGAAACCACGCGTAAAAGTTTGGAAAACCTTCGTAGAGGATGGGTGCAAGGAAAAGAATCGATTGAGGAAAGTGCTGGGATCTGCACAGTAGTCGTGAAGGAAAGGTCACACAAAATTTTTTTAAAAAGTCGTAAAATCATCTCTACTAACTATAGAATTTAGGGATGTGGCTACCACTTGGATCTCCTAGTGTTATCCGCCTTGATATTGATTGTCGGTATTCTGGGTCTTCCGATTTATGTCGCAGCTACTGTGCTCTCAATCAATCACATCAATTCGTTGAAAGTTGAGAGCGAATGTAAAGCACCGGGAGAGGTGGCACAGTTTGTTGGAGTATTGTAAGTTATACTAGTCCTTTCGGAAATTAATGTCGGATTTCAACAACCTCTATTTTTAAAGGTGACTTATCTCAGCTCGGAAAAAAAACTTTATTGGTTGAAATGAAAACATATTTAACTTTACTCTGTTCTTAATTCTATACTTCGCTTTCAAAGTGTTTCACTTTGTTCTCAGTTATAAACTCGTGGAATTTGGTCGGTTTTGTTTACTAATCGTAGAATTGAAGCATTCTGGTGTTTCAGTTACTTTTCAGTTATTGTGTATGTTTACCAAACTAGTAGAAGTCACCACCGTGATACTGTCAGTGCAGTCCATGTTTACCGAAAAGTTTTTTATTCAGAGAACAGCGTGTTACTGGTATGGTAACATTCTTGATGATCGGGTTGTCTGTTCTTATTACCACGTTTCTTGGACGTATCCCTATGCCAGTACTATACGGAGTCTTCCTCTATATGGGTATTTCGGCTTTAGGAGGCATTCAACTGTTTGATCGTATCCTTCTATTATTCATGCCGATGAAGTGAGTTGTTTGCGTGTATTTGTATTCATGTCCATGACGTTGCCGCTAAATCCTTTCATTACTACGCTGGAGATCTGTTTTCTACTAGGATATATTTCCGTTTTCTAGGTACCAGCCTGATACTATCTACATTCGTCATGTACCTATTAAAAAGATTCATTTGTTTACTGCATTCCAAGTTGGTTGCTTAGCAGTGCTGTGGACTGTGAAATCAATTAAGACGACGTCAATCACGTTTCCCGTAATGGTACGTCTTCAGTTTCCCTTATTATCTTTACATAGGTATTTTTCATTTGCGCTTTTCATTTTTAATGCAGTAAGATATTTTGAAGAGGCACATCTCTTCTATCGAAAGAGTAAAAGATTTCTGTATCCCTTCTTTAAATGGAAGGGTATGATACTTAAAAGAGCCCAACAACATTAGACGGTCACTGAAACATCTTACGAGGTTCCTTTTATTGTCCTTATGTTCTTAAGAAACCTAGTTGAAATCTTGTTAGGGCTTTTCAATATTTTGAAAATCGTACAAACAGCTTTTGGCCTCATCACTCTCTATTCATCGCTGATGAATGATAGTGCTGTTAAGTTCTGCTAAATTGAAGAGCACGAAGACCACCGTATTTTCTAGAATCTTAGTGAATAAGTTTAACTTTTGGGTCGACTGTGTGCTTGTAATGCGCTTGACGTCGTGTGGTACCTGGTCACTAAGAGCTCTTGTTAACCGGTATTCAAAAAGGTGCACCAGGTATCTCGTGTAAATTAGTTCCGACATCTTTGCGTATGCAAGCAGAAGCTTCCTTGATATTTAGTTATCACCTTAGATAGGTTTTTCAATCTTCCTTTCTTCTTTGCACAATACGAGACAATTTTTGGATAGCGCGTTCGGTAACTCAAGTCGCGTTTTCATATTGTTTAAAACGTCCAGGTTTCCTAGATTTGTGCGGGAGAAATCGTGGGATCCGGTTGTCATAATAATGAAATAATATTTGAAGAATATCGTTTGCCTAATTTCAGAGAAGTCCTATTAAAGTTTTTCTATTTTTAAAAGATTACCATGAGCTATTTTGAAAAAGGTGTAAACATGAATGGCAAGGAAATCTTTTTAAAGTACAGACACTTTTCTTTTTGAGAAATTTTATGATTCTCTTTGTGAAATCAAATGATTGAAAACTCAAAAGTACAAGTTGCAATCAATTTTAGTTTTGGTATAATTTACCCATTCAACCCACGTCAACTGTCACTTTCTGTCGTAATCCAATAAGCCGGCTTTTCAGTTGGTTGTTATGGTTGCTGTGCGAAAGTTGATGGAAAAGTTCTTCACGGTTGAAGATTTGAGGTACCTAGACGATCCTATGCCTGACTTCCATCTAAGAAAGAAAGAAGATCTGAAGAGACGACAGAGCGAAGTAAGTGCTTTGTAGTATCTGTAGTTTTGATTTTAACAATATATTTGTTTCTCCTAGCTACTGTAGTCTCTGCTTCTTGCACATAAAAGAACGCGTTGGTGGAATTCACACCGAACCACTGCTGTCGAATAAGTTATTTACTCGTATGATCTCCAGCAGAATTAGTAGTACATTGCATCAATAAGCGCAAAACGAATAAACTGGGTTTCCCAAAAATTCAGCACGCTTTACCACATCCACGTCGTCAAGGGTAGGCTTTTGATGCTACTGCATCTCTTTGTTGATTGATCTGAAGAAAATATTAGACCAAAACTGAAGCGGTCATCCAACGTTTATATTCAGTACATATGAATTCTGGCAATACACAAATGATGGATGACCTCTTCCGTCACACGTATGGAAGGCGAGAACCTCAACAAAATAGGATCTCATGAATGTTTCTGATGAAAACATTTGTGACTAAAAAGCTACTAAGCCGAAACGAAGTAGTTTGAAAGGAATTGCTTGTGCTATTAGTTAATTAAGTGGGAGCAAATCAATTCGGAGTTTCTAATACGATCAATGGAAAAGATTTTGCTCCATTAGTCATAACAAACTCAGAACAAAAGGTGTAGGCTTTTGTTGTCATAGAAGTCAAGAACAACCAATGGATATGAATTGTGCAAATCTAGCCTCCACGTTTGACCAGAGATACGATATTAGATGTCTGCTTAGATGCCTTTCCAAAAAATTTTAAGGTGAAGCGTGTATGTTCGTGCTTTTCTAAAGGAGTTGAATATTAAAGACCGTCCACCTAGTTTAACAAATAACCAACGAATTACAGGTGGTAGTGGTAACGTTCGTTCTTTTTTTTCTGTTATTCATTTATTGTTGTCCCTTGAGTTTTAGGGTGACCCGGTCGACATTGAGATCGAAGAGAACCAAGCGACAATCCATGCAGTAAAGACCGAGGCCCATTTACACATCCCAATGGCAAGTGGAAATGTGATTAAGATTCCGTTGGCAGCAATACAGGAGCCGAGTCATTCTATCAATATGACGAAAGAAGTGGGTTATAGATTTGCCTTGAAAATCGGCAATGTCTTATCGGAATCCATTTACAATCAGAAAGTTTTCCATTTGTATAGGTGAATAGCAGCGGTATGTGGAAACACATAAGTTCGTGTGATTCGAAAAATTCTCTCAATAAGGAAATACCGAAGATACAGTGAGCTTTATTCCCTTCCTTGTTTTATTATTATTCAATACATGACTTCTATACTTTGAGAAGCCCTAAAAAATGCAGTGACCTTGACTTTTTTCATTCTTCTTCTTATTATCACTACATTGTCATCATCGCACTATGGCTCTTTTAGCTATGGCGTTTTCCTGCTTCATTCTGTGGTAGCAAAATTTAACCTAGATGTTTTAAATAAGTTTTCAGTCCGCTTTTTTCCATGGTACTGGTAACATATTATATGCTGAGTGCAACCTAGAGACATATCTATCATAGAGATTCATCTATCATAGACACTTACAGCTGTGGGAGATACTGTTTTAATATTTCATGTGCGTTCAGGCAAAATGACGCACCGTTGGAAACTCCTGAAGAAGATGAAGATGCGATCATGATAAAGGCAAATTTTTTCTATTTAATTATCATTACTGATTACGACCTATCTCTCGAGATTGATTCTGTGTATAAGCTCCATTAAAAAGTGGTAGAGGTAAATGCATGGGAGCGTATATATATATGTGTATCAAGTCAGTTCTTTTCTGTCTCAGCTATCGCGTGGTTGTTAAACAGCGTACGTTTACTTCCATACAATAACACATGCAACACAATCGTAGCTGACGTTTCGGCAGAATCGCCTTCTTCAGAGCCTGGAAGGGTATACTGATATACAATTTACTGTTTGTTGTGCTGTTTAACAAACTCGCGATTGCTTAGACAGAAAACAACGAATTTATAACCCAATGCCGAGGTTAATAGAAAGTCGATCCTGGAAACTATCAAGACAGTTTTCTATTCTTCTGAACAGAGGTGATACTCGGTTACCGCGGGGCCCAGCATCGAATAAGCGATCATTTGCATCGCTGGGTACCGCTAACCACTTCGCTCTATCTGCTCCATAGTATTGCTTTAGCAAAGAAAAACATAGACAAACTTTTTAAAGCGTCTCATGACGTTTTATTAAAGTTTTAATTCGCAAACAAATATTTCAAGGTATAGGCTGTAAGCATCTCTTCGATATAGGCTTCTTTTTGCAGGTGATTCGTCCGTCTCCTCAAGGATCATCTCAAAATCTGATAGAAAGCCAACCGTTGTTGAAGGGCAAGGGAATCGATAATCCGCCGCCAGTGTAGTTTTTCCCTGTACAGAAGCATAGCATCTAATCTTTTTTCTTCTTCTGCCTCATGTACCTGTATTTTTATGAAAACTTGCTGTTTAAAAGCGCTAGGAAGGTGAGTGCCTTCCTACGTGTACTTCACACGAAGACGCTGAAGAAAACTAGGTTAATGGCATTAGTAACAGTGTTCGTAATATTCGACTATATATACACGCAAATATATATGTATAGGTTACTCTTAGTTTGTATTAATAATGTTATGAGGTTTTGAAAGGTGAGAAGACAGTATTGTAGGAGTTTATAAAGGCAGCGTATCTCATGAATCACGCAGTGGTCAGTTATGTTTCAGAAGGTCTTCAGTATATCATTTGACCTGTGCGATATTTTTAGATGTGTGTAAGTCAATATGTTTGTGATTATTGGCGACATTGTTCGTCCGTCTAACAAAATGTGCCATAAGTCGGAAACTATGCAGTATTTCCGAGTTCTGTTAGTTTCTTCAAAATAGGTTCTGTCCACTGACATCCTACTGATAGGCCTACCTATGTTACCGTCTAGTAGAACATAACCTCCCTGTTCACCCTAATGCCTCTTAATTAAATGTACTGCCACTTAACTGCGCTAAATGTGTTTTGTTCAAAACGGTGGATAGTTAAAAACGCAATGAAGCTCGTATTTTAAAAAAGGAAGCCATAAGCTCTGTATTTTTGCTTTTTTTTTAATGTTAACCGGGTTTTTGTAAATAGAGTTGCCAAGTATTATGTAGCTCAAGCACATGTACTACCGTAACGTCGTGTGAATTGTTTTTATTTTCTGTTTTTTTCTTTGCGTAGGTTTTTTAAGGCTTTTTGTTAACGATCTTATTGTACAACTACAGTATTACACTGCATCGCTAGGGTAGTCGAGCCATATTCCTTTCATCATTGTTCGTCGTATTCTTACACTGTTTCTTTCTTCTCAATAACGCCACTTTTTTCTCTATTTCTTTTCCCCTATTTTACATCACTACGCGCTTTAAAATTATATTATTAGTATATCTATCTACCTATTTATGTCGTTTTCTATCACCCATATTGTTTGGATATGATGATCGTTGCAACAACGTGCTATCTAGTGAAAATCCGCGTAACTTATGGAATCTAGTTGTCTTTCTTTCTCCTCGTTTCGAGTTGCAATTTCCTGATCGATATGTGTCGATAGTGCAGATATTTATCAGTAATATGAACTTTTCCACCGTTTTTTCTGTTGAAAAACAACCTTTGCCGTCTGAGGTTAGTATATTAATACATTCTGGAGAAATCGACGCGCTACTTGCGCTCTTTCTTCTTGATGGCCGGCCTATGGGAGGACGTGTCGTGAAGTAGCGGAATTGCTCAGAACACTTTAAGGAAGTGTTTTTTTTCCTCGTAGTCGTTCCTGGAGTTATAAATGCAACAACAAACTATTCAAATGTGTACTACACTGACGATAGAAAACATTTTTGTTCGGCCACGATACGCAAAACGTCATACAATGTTTCAAACATTGGTAGTCATGTTGTCAGTGTTGCTGATGATGATGATTTTCATTTATTTTGGTAGTCATGTGAGTATTTGGATTCGATCCGAACATGGCCGTCATCAGGATCTGCAACATTCACTGTCAGCGTTTGAGTACAAGTAACGAAGGTAATGGAAAAAAAAAAAACGCTAGAGATGCTCAGCTCAAGTGGGTTCCTTCTCATTTTTTTTTTTTTGCTTTGAAAGGAAAAAGTTTGAAGTGGAAGAACTGGAATAAGAGAAAAAGAGTAGAGATGGAGGAAATGGATTCACGCACTCTGCTGCTATGACAAGGTCGATCACGAAAAACTACCCCAAGTTTTCTAATTAACAGTTCTCTTTCTATAACGTAGGGTTTGCACTTGAGAAAAACCACAGAGCACTTTATGAAGTTTTTGGTGCAATCAACAAGACGAATGGCATCATCTCAGGACCAGATAGCATCACTACCAAGTCCAACAGTTCCAGCACCGGAAGTAGGATTCAAGGACGATTACGGTCATCATCAGCAGTTTTGACAGAAGGGATTCCTAGTTGAATATGCGCTACAAGTTCTCTAATCAGATTGTGACCTTGCGCATATGAAGGAGTTCAACTGAAAAATATACAATTGAGCATGCACTTTTTGACTTTGTGGACCATATCAGGACCCTTTTTAGAGTCGTAGAAATCTGTTCGGTTTGTCAGTTTATCTTTGTTCTAAACTTTATTTATTGCGGGGAAGTATTTGACAACAATGAAACGAATGCAACCACACTGAAGCTGTCCTGAACATATAAACGTTTACAGCTATGACTGCACCACGACTGTGGAGATTTTTATCTGTCTGTAGTATTTGTCTTTTTTAAAGAAATTCGTCGAATTAGGAGAGATGAAAAAGGTACGTATTCTATTTCTGCGCCCAATTCTTCTTTTTGACTTAGTAATACCATACACTTCCAACGGTTTACCGCCTCATCGTAGCTAGGAGTTGTTCCTGGGTGTTGGGCTGCGATGCACCGCGGCAGAATTCATCTCCCTAGCAGGGTCTCCCAAGCTGAGAAGGAGTCCGGCCTTTCCATCAGGAAGTCTAGCTAAGAGTGAATTAATGCCAAGATCCACCACCGTCCTGGTATCAAAGTCGCATGGTGGCAAATCTCTCTGATCCGCAAGGACTACGACTGCCTGTGCTCCGAAAAATGGAGGTTATGCTGGGCCCGCACAATCAGTGAGGACGGGACATTCAAGTATCAAGTAATACCGTACAGGGAAACGCCCACATATTCAACTTCGTTTGCTGATCCCTTTAAGACCTCCGTGGTGACAGTCATTTGATGATGACGGATACGTTTGCAAAGAAAAAAGTGCTAAGCTGCTTATCGTCTGACCACTAGAAACCACTGTGGGACCAACTTTACTTGTGATACCATCAGTCTGCTACGAAATGGTGGACAAATGTGAACGTGCTTTGACGTGAATCCGATAAACGTCGTTGTCCATTGTTTTTAATCCTTTTTGTTCATTTTTCACTTTTCCGTTGAATTCCTCACTCTTTGTTCTATAGTTCTGTAGCACTCAGTGCAAGAGTTTCTGCAGTAGTAATCAACTTAAGGATTACCTGTATAATCAAAATGCCAACTATATAGCTGAATTGACTCTCTCCAACCAGCATTATCTTCTCCTTAACAGATTGTGTGACCACCTATAAACATGCCATCATCTGTCGTTCATATGTCCCATAATTCAGGAACCAATCGATAAAACTGTATAGGGCTGTAGTTATTGATAGATTTGTATCTTGCTATGAATAAATATTAGCCAACCTGAAAATGTACTGTTAAAAAGGCGACATGAACAAGCGAGATCAGGAAGACTGCAGTTGAGATTTTACCAGTGGCAACTATCGCTGTAATAGAATAATATTATTAAAGCTATATATGTTGACTTTACTAATAATTACTTGTCGAATCGACCTAATATCGTGCATAGAATTGATGAAGCGAATCCGCCAACAGTGAAGAATATATTGCGTTCCATACCAGCTAGTGGAGTTCGTAGTAATTCGTTGTCCATCTGGAAATCTCCTTCATGATCCCAGAAGGAGTCTATGATTTTCGGATCGACAGAACGATACAGTTAGTAGCAGTTTTCACTTACAAACTACTTTTAATAAACTAGAGAGATCTTAACCGTTTTACTTACTGCCTACTATTTTCAATGGCAGTGTATGATGCGAAATATAACTTCAACGATGCTGAGATATTTGCAAAACTCCGGACCGCAGGTGTCTGCGGTGAGAAACGAACGCGCTATTGTCCTCTTCGGGGAGTAACGCGCTCACCACCACACCATGCCGGTCCTTCGTTTCGCTCGTAAGTAAAACGGTCAAGATTGGTTAAGTTTGTGATTATAACTAAAGCCTCAGCTTAACTGGGTTCATTGCCGATTTGAGCTCCCCAGATCAATCCCGCTGACAGGTGATTGCTGACGGCAGAGATCGATAGAACTAGCTGAAAGGCGGGCGAAACGAAGGATCCGTATGGTGTGCTGGTGAGCGCTTTACTCACCGGAAAGGACAATAGCGCGTTCATTCCCCCACCCCAGACACTTGCGGTCCGCGGTTTTGCAAATATCTCAGCATCGTTGAAACTAGAGAGAGATACAACCACAACATTGCTGAGATATTTGCAAAACTCTGGACCGCAGGTGTCTATGGTGGGGAACGAACGCGCTATTGTCCTTTCCGGGGAGTAGCGCGTTCACCACCACACCATGCGGGTCCTTTGTTTCGTCTGTCTCTCAGCTATTTCTATCGATCTTTGCCACAGCAATTACTAGAGAGAGAGTTATAATTCATGCTACTTTTATGTGATAATTCATATTTTCTTCTTTATGATGAGCAGGATTACACTTGTTCGAAGGTAGTAACGTTGTTGCATTCAATGCCTGATAATAGCACGTTTTTTCTATCGACCCAGTGTTTTACGGCACATTGTCATGGTAGGGAGATATGACAGAGTATTGGGTCACAATGCACAGCTAGAGGTTCAATCGTCGGCGACATTGTCACCCAGGCTGCGAAGAAGTTCACCATCATGAGCTGTTAAAGTCTTGGTATAAGCCTAATGGTAAAGTAAACAACGCTCATACTGTTTTTAAAAATCGATCTCAAACGATGCTAACAAGTTTATCACTAAACTTCAAGCTGGAAAAAGAACGTTGTGTTCACAATGATGCTGAGATATGAGCAAAATTGCAAGCGTCAGTTGCGCTTCGAACCCGCGATTACCCATTTCGGGGTTTTACTTGTTACCCATTGCCCTACCGAGGTGCTTGCTTTGTTTTTCTCCCAGTCAGTTTTTCACTATAACGGTTCTCTCAGCAATCATCCGTCAGTGGGAACGCAACTGAGATTTCAAAAACCTTATTTTTTCGTAAATGGTTTTACATCTTGTTTTCATCGAACAAATAACTCGTCAAATTGAAGTAATGATTGGACTGGCGCGGATTTTTCATGAACACGTGAGCTTCAAGAACTGTAACCCTTTTCGTCACAACTCCGGTTTAGAATTTGGAATTCACAAAAGTAAAAGCATATGTCATTAGCATGGATCGCAAAATGCCAAAACACTTAGTGTTCAAGAATTTCCACCGGAAATTTTACGATTTTATTGGAAACTACTATCACTGTACACCATAAAGTGACCTAAGGAATATGTGTGGCGTCGTGACTCGAGGTGACCCGCGATTAACATGGTCTTCGGTTTCAGCCAGTGCCTCCCACTTCTCGTTACTGCCGGTTCGGCAAGTTGGCATCAGATTTGTCCGAGTGAATCAAAACGTTCACTAGATTCATCATTAGGCCTACACTAGTGATTATATAGGTGAAATATCTATCCAGTTACTCTACAGTGCTACGAATGGAGTCAGATGCATAACGCATCCTTGAGATATTGATCAACACCAAACGCTTTTATTTTGTGATTTACATTGACTTACCAATAGAGCGAGTAACAAAGGTGGAATGAAGAAGACTGAAGGTACGATGCTGGTCAACGTGCCACCGATGAGATGTCCGAGCAAGATTCCGCTCGCCAGACAGAATCCAAACAAACAGGTACGTCGCTCAGTGTCATCCATTGCTGTAAGAAAGCACAGTGTTAGGGACAAATTTGGCCTAGCGCGTTTTTTTCCAGCACTACTTTTATAGCATTTTTTAACGCCGATGATTCCTTATAAGTGAAACGGTTTAAAAACCAATTTAAGAGAATATTTAATTAAAAAGGAAATGTCATATATGCAATTACACAAAAGTAGCTGACGACATTGTCGACCACAAGAAAGGCACTATAAACTTTCTTCTGTTGTTAATTTCTTTATACTCGGCTTCTTTTGGCTTATAGCGTCACTTAGTTTTGATTTCAACTATAGTAGCACACAAGACGATCGGCGCGTTCAGTGACCAAAGGCGCCACCGATGTCCATACGTTTTTAGTTAAACACCGTTCGTTAAATAATGAAGCCTTTCGTATACACGGAGTTTACACTTGGATTGTTATCGGGTATACAGTTTACAAAATTCTCGGTTTTATGGACGCCTTTTTTTTTAGAAAAATAGCGAATCAAACAGCTTTGTGAGAATGGGAAGTTGAAGAGCTGACGAAGCTACTGTGGCAAAACAGATAATGAAGAGCATTCCACTGATTAAATATTATGACAGCACACTGTGCTTAATCATTAGGCACTTTGTAGAGAATTCCGAAAGGTTTTCTTTGCTTTCCAAGAAATCTCGACTTTCGAGGAATTCTGTGCCTTTAGCGCTCGATTTTCCTATCACCGATTTGGTAATTTCGTGACTCCCTCTATCAGTATTCAGTCTTCTACTTCACAAAAAAAAATCCGCACAAACCGGCATTTTTTCGAATGTTCAAGTAGACGTATGTAGGAATAAGGAATAACACAATGACTTCCACGTATAAATCGAAGATATATTCTAAAACGGGTGGAAAAACGAATGCTCCAGCAAGTTCACCGGACGAAATACCAAGCATAAGCACCTGAAAAAGCGTTTTCATTGAGCATGAGAACGTTCTCGAATCGCTGAAAATGTGTGGTGAATGGCCTGCGATGCCACAGGAACCCTCTCATCGCACGCGATTGGTCGACTAGCGACGTTCCAACTCATTGACCAATGACGAAGGATATAGACTGGCGTTGCGACGCTGATAATTACTCTCTGCCGGAATCATTATCAATCTTACTCGCAATTCGAGTTTACCGTATCTACTGTACTCGAAAGCAACAATTTAATTGACGGCTTCTGTTGAAAACAAACACTCGACACCATATTCCAATCACGTTCGTGTATCGCTTTGTGTTGACTTTTCTCCAACAAAACGTGTTTTATTTAACTTTCTAATAAAAGGTCCTTTAAAGACTGTTAAGACTTTTTTGACTGTTAACAAAAGTCACTTCACCCAATGATAGACTACGTTTACATGGCAATGACACATATTACGGTTTCAATCCCCGTACACAGTCACCCGAATTGACGAGTTCGATGTATCCATCGGATGGGTCAGTTAAGAGAAAGCCAATCGCTTTATGTAGTCAGCATAAGAGTAACAGCTCTTCACCTACGCAATATCGTAGGATGAACCTCAACTTTGTTACTATACCTTGTAGAGAGGTTATTCTCTGACTTTTCTGCAGTTCTTTTAACCATTACATTGAAAAGCTGGCGGTATAATGTGCGTTCCCAATTCATTCACTACCTCTGTAAATGAATGGACATGGTAAGATTGCGCCAAGGTAGTGTCATACAATCAACAACACACCGAAATCCCTAAGTACATCTCGACTATGTTGTTCTTTGTGTCCTTATCCACTTGCGATACGGGTTCGGACTGAGATGTTGCAGTAGTGATCTGAAGTGAAGTCGACTGAAATCTAGACCATAGATCAGTTTGTTGCCGTGTGCATTTTACCCTTACTGAAACTTTTAACTATATAAGTCCGACAAAAATGTTCTTCCTAAACAACAACTTTTTTCCAAACTTCTACGTTTTTAATTTTCCAGTTCGAACGATTAGCTAGTTATGGTCTCTATGTATCTATCAAATTAAGGCGCGAGGGTCGCAACTGTTAGAGATGACGTGTACCACACGTGTGGTCGTTGCTTCGACTGCGCTTTGTTCAAAGTTCTCCTTACCTCCGAAGTCGGCGAATGTGTGTGTATCAGAATGGGTATGGAAAAGCTACCCAACTAAGATCAATGCAGACTGGCGGCAACTATTATGAATGCTTCGAAGTGGTCTAGCAGAAATTTTCCGATCTAGCAGTGCTCCAAGAAGAGTAAACCAGCAGTCAACCCTATTTTTGAGGTAGACAAGGTCTTCAAGTGGCAGCGTATCCTACGTTCAAATCTGAATTCTTATGTAGATTACGGATATAAAGCAACACACCGAGTGAAAGCAGTGCTTGGATTCGCACAATATAAAAGATCTGGTCATATAAAAGTGCTACATCGATCGTTGAACCAAGGAGAAAAAATTACATCGCATGCTTCACTTGTGTACTACTCAACGTTCAGTTTAGCTTTGATCTCATAAAGGATGACAAGAATAAAGCTCTTGGCGTTGATCAATTGCTGAGAGGTGCACCACGCATTCGACCTCATTAAGCATCGTTAATGCATATCTGGCCTTTACAATGACTCATGGTGGCCTGCCGATGTAAAAATTCAGTACTGCTTTCTTACAGACATGTCTGGCATAAATTTACCGAATCTAGAGTTTAATTACTTTGAAGAAAACCATAGTTGTTCCTGAATACATTGTTCAGCAAATTTATGCGTGGTGATTTTTAAGATGACAGCGCTTCATTTCGTCATCTACATGGGATTATCCACATGACTACCGTGAGATTTCAGATTACTAACATATGCTAGCTGACAACACACCGACCTCTGCACGATGTGCGCAATGATGTATGTCCGGAAGAAATACAAGTTATTACCACCGGACATTGTCATTATATATCTACCATCAGCATCGTGTATAAAAGGGCATCACTGTGTGAGGATGCCTCATTCGAGAAGATGGCTCGCTGAGGAAGATCTGGCTCGACAGGAAGGCGAAGACGCAACGTCGAGGCGAACAACAAGCATGGACCATCGACTCGGATCACCGGCTCTGAGGAAGACGAAGACGTCGAAACGTTAGCCGAAAATAAATATATTTATCAACCTCGTGCAAGCTTATCAAAAAAGAATGCATATTGATTTGTCACACCGAGGTTTAGGGAAGGTCGGTTTCGAAATATTACTACGCTTTGTGCTAGCTGACAACACACCGACCTCTGCACGATGTGCGCAATGATGTATGTCCGGAAGAAATACAAGTTATTACCACCGGACATTGTCATTATATATCTACCATCAGCATCGTGTATAAAAGGGCATCACTGTGTGAGGATGCCTCATTCGAGAAGATGGCTCGCTGAGGAAGATCTGGCTCGACAGGAAGGCGAAGACGCAACGTCGAGGCGAACAACAAGCATGGACCATCGACTCGGATCACCGGCTCTGAGGAAGACGAAGACGTCGAAACGTTAGCCGAAAATAAATATATTTATCAACCTCGTGCAAGCTTATCAAAAAAGAATACATATCCAATAACTCTGTCGTATTGGTTAGAACTGGAATAATTGTTTACCGAACAGACTTATTCCACTTTGGTTTCGACAATTACGACCTTGTCGGTTAGTACTGAGTTATGTCCAGTCAGAAGTACTTGTTTATGCCTGAGCTACGGGGACACTCACATAATCCTTGACATCGTATGCGACCGGTTCAGCAACATCACGTGCCCGTTCAGCTGCTGTGATGAGCTTATTTCCAATGAAGAATACACCATCATAGTACGCAAGCACACGCCTTCGCATTGTTTCGACTGTTGTCTGAATTTGTTCCACATAGCGTTCGGCAACTTCTGTCATCTGAATACTACGGTTTACAAAGACTACTGTAATCGTAGAACATGTGAAGAAATCTTAACTAAACAGATCTTTCCGTCTTAAACAGAACGCACCCTTACCGTTTGGCGTAAGAATAATACACAAAATGAAACATTCCTAGCTTTTGGACGTTATAATAAGTCCATAATTGCTTACTGATCTTTCTGATATGTTCATAGTAAAGTCGATAAAATTGAAACCACTGATTATGAACTTATCAGATCTTCTAGCTAATCATCGACCGGTTCGAGGAAGTGCCGAAAAAGCTAGATGTATAGAAAGTACGTGTTCATCCTGCGATGAACAAGGATGATGAGGTTATCAGTACTGATGGGACAGAATCATAGAAAAAAAAACGAAATGAGAAAGCGAGTTAATAAGAAAACGTAGAAGAGGATATGAGACAAGAGAGAATGTGCAGCGGAACAAGACGAAGAAACAATGAAGCACAACTGTGTTATGCGTGTGAAAGAATCGAATTCTATGGGAAAAAAGCCGGAAAATATAGACTTCACATAAGTGGTAAATAGTACTTTATTTGTGATCAGACCAGAGCAACAAAGAATGAACCGGATTGACGACGTTATAAAAACAAACTGTAGGAAATAAACTGGATACCAAACAGAGCAAAGTGAGGTAGAAAGCAACCGAACGTTATGAGTCGCGCTATCGACGGTGACGATGAAGATTAGGTAAGCAAGAAAGTCGACTAAAGAAGCGCTTTTACAATTAAAAATATTTAAAGAATTGTGGAAACTTTTTGTAGGTCTACATTCGACTAGGAGAGCAATAATTATTAAGTGGACAATTACAAGAACTCTTCAGGGAAATTGACGATTGGTTTCAGCACAATGAAAAGGCATGATTGGCGGTTCAAAGTAACATTTTGAAAAACTTGTTGTTGGCCTGGGTGATGAAGATGCAGTTCGATATCCATTCCACTTTTTCCTTTAAGAGTCCATCCTATTAATGTCGTAGAGTTAAAGGATAAAGCGCTCAGCGTTAATCAATCCCAGGCGGATGCGCAATGCACTGGACTCGATTCACAGGATGGCCGTGGTGAGTTAGTGAGTTAGAGCTTGTTTGCGCTCTACCAATGGCCTGCGGGGTCTTGCCGTTGTGTCAAATAATTAACTCATTGTTTTCTTCATGAGCAAATGTAAGGTTTTTTTCAATGTTTCTCTCTCACCTATCACACACAAAAAAGAGCGCGTTGGTGAAAAATATGTTTCGAACAGCCACTACTGTTTCTAGAGGTAGAAAGCAGAACGAGGAATTCCTGAACTTGGCGTGCAAAATAGGTATAAAATTGATATAAATACAAAATAGATGAACTTTTAATGGATACGGAAGAGTAACTGCAAGGGTTAAATATAAATGAAAAATCTCTCCCCAAAACGGTAAACCCAATGAAAGTAAGGTCTTGTTTATCCTTCCTTTCAATTCCAACTAAATGAGTACAGCTTAAAAAGTGGATTAAATAGGCTGGACTAGGCATCAGAGATTAAAATACCATCGAACAACCACAGAGACCGGTCAGTTCGAAACCGCTTGGATGATCATCTATGTACAACGTAGATTTACATAATTTCCCCTAACAGTAGAGACAGTAGTTGCAAGAGTTTGGATACGGCGTGCCTGATTTCTTTAAACTAAAATTCAAACAGAACACTCCACAAGTAACGCATGGGACACGAAAGCGCAACAGAGTAGATTTTGAAGTAAAACTCACTGTCTTCGCATAGGAATCCAAAACATCAGCATGAAAAACGTCTTAGATAAATTGCAAAAATCCAAAAATGCACCGTAACGAGCAGTGCCTTGTGTTTGGGCGTTATCTCGCGCTCTTCCTCATCCTCGTTTTTCGACCTCAGGCAGGCATATTCATCACACAGGTAACACTTTGTGCGGCTGGTCTCCAACCGTTAACTGGAAGACTCGTGAAGAACAAAAGGTAAGTGTTTAAAAGAAGCTGTGAACTATGTGAATGGAAATTTATGCATTAACTTCTATCTACTGAGGTTCGGAAACTGTTTGACTAAGTATATTGTGTCAGTTTCACGTTTCCACGCTCTGAAGAAGGCGAAACCACGAAAACGCCAGCTATTCTGCGTGAGTAAAAATATTGTGGTACCAACCTCATGTTTCTTCATCATGGAGACACTGAATTACTGATCAGGTGAAAGTGGATGAGAGAAAATCAGTTCTGTGATATGAACCTAGAGATTTTTATCTTCTGAAATAACTCTGGTAACAATCTGGCGATCCTCTAGTGATGAAGGACTTGGTGAGCCTTGGGTGCAGAGCGGAACGAACGAGCGATCTTCTGCGTATTGCAGGGCAGAACTAACCACTGCGCTACACGCGCCCAATATGACGATTGGGCTGTAAATTAGATCTGCAGCTGAATAAGTAAGCATTGGTGATCAACTGAACTAGCTTTATCGACGACAATCTCAAAGTCATGTTAAACTTGAAAACATAAAGCGAAGAGAATCCATTGTGCCACTCTAATCTGTCATTGATGTCAAGTCATCGGTTTTTTTAGTGTTTTTTAATGAGTCATTGTTCTGATCACTGATTTTCTGGGACGTACTGACAATAGTTTCTCATCAACGATGAAAAGTTATTGTGCCATTATTCCCCTTCGAAGCTCGCCTACAGTTAACAGTTAATCCCTTCTTGTCCTCACCACACGTCAGAATTACTCAATGGACTATGCTCGCTGTTGAGATACTACATACTGAGATACCATACGTTATTCTGGTATCCTCATGAAGTACTCCATTTGCCGGGTCGCTGCTTTTGTCTTGATAAGTTTGAAATCTTGCGGAACTTCTTCGTAAAATGCTAATCACTTGCCATTGTGATTTGGACGCATTGCCCACCCACTTAATTTTTGAGCGATGTCTTTGATCTTTGATGCCGCCCTAAGTCATATGTTCAGTCTTTTTCAATCAGCTGCGTGATAAATGGTGCTTTTTTATTTTTGTTTTATACAACCCGTCTTTCACATCTACGCCGTAGATCCCAGCATCTCTTGTTTTCGACTCGCTTCCTCGCATCCGCCATCCACGAAAGTCTTTCCAATCTTTTTACGTGTGGTTTTGGTTGGTACTAGAGAATTTTCCTTTCATCTTGAATATAGTGGAATGCTCGTCGAACGGATTCGCGCTGTAGTATTGAGATTGCCGGGCTAAAGCGTTCCCACTTCGCGATTTTTCCCGAACTAGTCCGGCAGCAGTTTCCCGACCTCACCATCACCGTGCTCGTGATGATCAGCATCACTGCCACTGTGATATCCGTTTCCTGGTAAGTAGTACTACTAACATTAACGTTTCGACAGCTCATTCGATAACGCTATTTGACCTTCTACTTAGCTTTATTGTTTTCGAAGTGCACCTTGGTGCAAGAAGAATCGTAAAATTATAGACACTTGGGCGATTTTTAAAAATCTTTCTACAATATTCCCTATGCTCTAAAAAGCATTTATTTATATTGTTGAGCTTACACGGGATTGACAGAGATGTTTGTTCGGCTAACGTTTCGACGACTTCGTCTTCATCAGCGCCGACGGTCCTTGTCGATGGGCCACAGTTGTTCCTCTTCTCGATGTGGCGTCTTCTTCTCGCATCGAGCCGGATCTTCCTCAGTTCGGTATCTCGAATGCGCCATACTCACCAGGCAACGCTCTTTTATACAGGGCGGTTGTTGTTAATGTGATTATCCGTTGGTAATAATTTGTTTTTCAACGGATAATCCACCTTGCAGCAGTCGGTATTTTGTTAGCTAGCACATGCGAAGAGCAAAACAATAAATTTAATAACTCTAAAGAGCTTGTTCGTCCGTATAAAGAGGTACGGAGTTTTGCAAATATCTCAGGGTTATACAAACTCTAAAGAGCTTCAAAATTTTTTTCATTTCTTCCCATCTGCCCTCGATTAGCCCACCTAAATAGATCCACAGCACTAGAGCATTGAGAGGTAATCGTTTCGCTAGGCGCCAATGACCAACCGGAAACAATTCCACTCTTTATAAGCATCTTTAGATTCAGTCCTAGAATGATCATTATATTCAAGCTGCCGAAATCTACCAGAATACGTTCCTCGAAACTAGTAAAAACGTTGTAAGAAGAAGTAATCACAGCGAAGATTATCTGTCAGCCAGTCATAGACGTTCACTCTCGTGCACCGTCAGTCCACTTTTCTCATAACTTTTTTCAAGATTTTTACTACTCTAATCAAGATGTTATCGCTTCGTAGTACGGGTCATTCTCTTCGTTGTAATACTAGAGGAGTTATAGAGTCGTGAGGTTTGGTAATAAAGTTGTTATAGAGCTCATTAAAGGTTTTCACAGTTTGCGTTGGGATATCTAAATTGTTCAGAGCTTTCAAGACTACTTCCACACTGTATTGCTCTTTTATTTTGCATTCCAGCAAGAAATGAATGCACTGTTCCACTTGTGTTGATGAGAATAGACGGAAATCTCTTCTCGATGATTCTCTACTGCAGCAAGAATATGTTGAAGTCGGAATAGATGAGAAAGAACGAGTATGTCGTGATTATCCGGTGTTAGCTGCAAAGGAGGGCATTGATAAGAAGAGGGTGATTATTCGACAACGCATTGGATTCTGTCGGCAGTAAAAGCGTCTAGACAAGGCTTGCAATCAAAGGCTCCAAGGGACACGATGAATTACTTTTTTTGGTCGTCATCACTAACTCAGGCACAAGCACTATCCTGTTCACTCAACTCCAGTGCGTCAGACCACCTATAAAGTGAAGTTCTTCAGGCGTTTTCTCGAGGATCATCTCAATCTCAAATTGCTGATAATAACTTTATAAACAGAAGACGCGATTCTCAAGTTTAACCTATCCCAAGTGTTTTATGTCTCAACGTTATTTTTAACGTAACCAGGTACTTAAACGTATTTGGAAAAAAAATTCCAAATCGATTCCGCTTCGAGTCCTTCCAGTAGCAATCG